GACGAAGTATAACAGACGCCACTATTCAAGGGACCCAAACATTATGTTTGGTTGAATTTCGGTTTTATTAATACCAACATTTAATTGCATCATTTTATTAATTGTTATTAAGTGTTTGCATGTGTTTGTTTGAATTCTTTTGATTGGTGTCAGCGCACTTCTCGACTCACGGAGACAGGTTTGGTGTGCGTTTCTGTACATACTTTCACTCACTAGATGACGAACACTAAGGGTTATCGCCGCGGCACGCGGTATATGTTTGCTAGAAAGTTTCGAAGACATGGAACTCTACCCACGAGTGTCTATATGCGAGTCTACAAGCGTGGAGATATTGTTGACATTGTCGGAGATGGTGGTGTGCAAAAGGGCATGCCCCACAAGAGCTACCATGGGAAAACCGGTCGAGTTTTCAACGTCACCAAACATGCTGTCGGTGTGATTGTCAACAAACGAGTCGGGTATGTTTTCTACCTTCAAATCTAATTGAATTTAGAAATCGTATCATTGCTAAGCGCATAAATGTGCGTATTGAGCATGTTCGTCCCAGCAAATGTCGGCTTGAGTTTCTTAAGAGGGTTAAAGAAAATGACGAAAAACGGAGGTTGGCGAAGGAGCAGGGTGTTCGCTACAGTCTCAAGCGCGAACCTGTTGGTCCTCGTCCTGCGCATCTTGTGCGTACGCGTACACACCCAGTTGTCACACTTCATCCTCTTCCGTACGAATTGATTGCATAAGTACAACGCAACTTTTTAATGGAGACTTGCCTTTCCTGATTTAGTGCGGCTGTTTGGTCGATATTTCTGAGAACTCGGTGGACCACCAGCTACGGTCTAAACCTATCCATCGCATTTTGGTAGTCCATTTTTCTATCCCACCGCAAGAAATTTTTCTTCTGGTCAATTGATGTTCGTGCTTGGGAAGTTGATCGAAGTCTTAGAGCCGATAGTAAGGTAGAGTTCTGATTGTTCACGGTAAATCGGTTTCGCGGACGGTTTGGCTCTATGACCGCCATAGTTCGTCGTATTCATTGTTCGTTTGGTGAGGAGGGACCGAATTGTATTGCTTTTACAGGTGCTTTTGTTATTGATAGTTAGAGGAGGGTGTTCCGCATTTCGTTTACCAACTGTTAACCTTCATTTTCTTCATGTTGTTGGACTATTTCGTTTGAAGAAACGTGCTTCGTGCCTGGTCTTCCTATTCTCTGTTATCCTGCAGATATTGCCGTTTAGATTGTATGTGTTGTAAGGCGGCTAAACTGGTTCCTAACCGGTACGTTAAGTCATTGGGCGGGCCTTGATGGTCCATGCTATAGTATTGCCGCGGGGTGGGTAGTTGCCCGCTTTAGTTTTCGGAACTTGATCAGATCAGTTTGCCAGCTCGATTGTCCTATAGAGTTGCAAAGTTTTATTTGAGGTGCGTTGGAGTTATCAGGATAACTTGGTGCAATTGTGCCTGTTTAACAGTGGAGTCAGTTAAGGTCGTGTTATTTGTGAAGCTTGGATGACGTTTTTGAAATTTGCTACTGGAGGCTCGGTCACAGTTTGTATTTTGTCCCAAATTGCGACGAATAACTATCGTAAATCAAGGTAAGATTAAAGGGCGTCTGTTCTCTATGACGGTCCTTATGCAGGTGAACTGCATCTGTGCCGGTGGGTCGTC